GGCTGGGTTGAAGGCAGAAGAGCAGGAATGCAGTGGAATTGCGTGGCCATCGAGAGCCGGAAGTTGTCAAAGGAGCCATCCRCTGGGATTTGAGGACAAGGCAGACACACAGAGAGGTGGGAGCTAGGTTTGGTTCTCCTCAGGTTTTGAATTTGATAATGAATTTTATGAGCCCAACGCATATCCTGGAGGTGTGAGGAATGGAACTGAGAGGGAAGTGGGTGGGAGGAGGAGGAGCTGACCACCCCAAGCTTAGGTACATGTGGTGGAGTGCAATGGTGGGATACCCAAAGTGTAATGGCGGGGTGTACTGCAGACGGCTGGAGGTCAAGGTGTGGAGACATTAGATCAAGAGGTCACTGCGGTGGGAAGCCATGGACTGCAGCTCCACAGGACATGGCACAGAAGTGCTCAGGACATGGTGTGGTGACCTTTGGGACAGCTCCAGAAGGAGGGAGAATCTACCATGGACCAGAGACAGAGAGGACAGGTGGGAAGGGTATCACCCAATGTCAAGCCTTCCTGGGAGCCAAGAGGTCAAAGCAGAGCCCGTGCACGTTGCTCCACGGGAGCTAACACCATCTCGGAGAGAACAGACTCCACGTAGATGATGTGCAGGGGACGAGGAGAGGCCAGGGCAGCTGTGATGTGCAGGTGGACATGGGCAGAGCTCAGCACCACTGGTCACTGGGATTCGACCCAGAAGAGAAGTGAGGAGGTCTGAGACAGTTAGAGGTCATGTCCAGGGAGTAGTAAAGGAGGAAAGAGGGATAGAGGCCAAGGTCCAGTGCAAGGTCATCTGGGGCCTAAAGGGAAGGGAGAGCTTGGGGAGGGAGCTCGAGGTGCACTGGGAAGGGCCTCGGCACAGGGGCAGCCCAGGGGTCTCCCAGCGGCCACCTTCTCAGCCCTACTCACCTCCTCTCAGTGTAGCCAGGACCCAGGCAGAGAGGCCCAATATGGAGTCCATGGGACACCCGCTAGGGTGGGTTACAGAACCAGAGGGTCCAGTGGGGCTGGATCACCACTGAGCTTCTGCCTGCTCTGTGAGCCGACTGACCAGGAGGGGCAGTCTTCAGCCGCACACAAGGCCCTTTGCTTAGGCCCGCCCCTTC